AAACATCCCCATTGTCGAGGAATACTGTTTATATTATATTTTTTAAAGCAAACATATTTTTTGCTTTAAAGTAAGTTTAACAGTGTGTAACCCAAATTTTTTTGCAGCAATGTTCCGATGAGTGACAAAAATCCACATTTCGATTTTTTATACTGCAACGAAAGTGAAGCTGATATGATCAAGTGGAACTCGAAGTTCAAGCAAAAGGGTTTTGAGGTGTCGGCGTCTGACCAATTTAATAAAAAGGCTGAGATTGCTACGAAGAAGGTACCCTATGATTTATTTTGACGTTTAACATAAATATGCAATACATTCAGTCATCATCTGTAAGTTGATTATTTTTAGATCGCTACTGAATTTTACGAATGGTGGTCAAACCTTGGCACTGGCGAGTATAAAAGTGAAATCAAGCGTCCGGAAGACATCGAAGATCTATTTCAGGTTTTTAATAATGTTACTATTTTTTTTTACAATTAAGAGGACCGATTTTAAAATTAATTATAACAAACATTTTGCAGGTTTGGTTCGACGAGCATGCTTCTAGGGGATTGGTACTTGATCCTAAAATTCTTCCTTGTGTTAATCAAAGTATTGCTGATTACGTGGGAGTTCCAAAGGTAACATGAAGTGTTAATTTACGCACATTTTAATTAAATATGAAACACTAAATAATGAAATCATTACATTTGTAATTAATACATAGTTGTGTATAAATAAAAATCCAATTTCGTTGCGTTAAAAGTATAAATGGTATTCATAAAAAGTATTAGCCTTTTTAATAATACTTTTAAAAAAGTTGTTAGCATTCGGTTCATATTTATCCTCCTTCCTTCATTCCAATACTACACAATTTGTTGCGTTCAGTTTTCAAGGTAAATATGAAAAGCTTGTAATTTTTCTTTGTCAAGGCTTCATGTCCAAAAGCACTGAAGAGACAGATATTGTCCGACATAATAGCGGAGAGCAGTCCGGCGCACACGACCGCCTTTGCCACCTGCTTGCCGCAACATCTGAAACACATTCCTCCAAAGAACAACACCAAGAAGATCTGGCAAAATGTTCAGATACCCGATGACCTAAAAACTATGTCTTGTGTATGGTCCGAAATACAACATTTGACGTGAGTACCCTTGGAAACATTATAACAACTTCCTTAAGAAAATAATGTTCGGTTTCAGCGCAATGTAGGATTTTATTTTTCTAACTTACTTCAGTGAATAATATCTACATAATTAGATACATTATTAATTTACTGATTATTTTAATAATATTTTCAGTTCAACAAAGACTTTCTACAACTGGTTGAAACAGAGGCCTCACTTGCCGATGCCGCCTTACCTCGAGTCTCTAGACCAGTCTGGAGAAAAGAAACAATTGTTCGTTGTTCCTTCAGACTTCGTTGTGAAGGAGAAATCATCTACGTCTATCGTACAAGAGTTGGCATTCCCCGTTTCTGAATTTACATTGGAATTAAAAGAAGAATTGAGCAAGATTTTGAACGAATAGTTTTTATTTTGGTAAAGTATGTTATTAAAACTTTCTCTACGATTTTAGTTGTATTTTTCAACTTTAACCATAAGATTTAAATTTAATTTAATTTAATTTAATTTAAGACACGTTAAACAAAACAAAAATCCAGAAGGTGATAAATATTCGATGTAAACAAAACAATTGTGTCCTTGGTAATGACTGCCACTTATCGCACAATTTGACTTCCTTTTCAATACGGATTCCCGGAACCAGTTATTGCGTAATATTTATTAATTGTTTGTATTGGTTTTATTTAAGAACATATACGTAATAACATTTTAGCAGTGGATATCTTTTTACTTTTTAATAGTTCTTGTCCTAAGTTTTTTTTTATATAACATAAGGTGGCAAACGAGCAAGCGGCCACCTGAATCCGCCAAAATGGCGAAGCGACCGCTACCCATAGACATTCGCAACTGCAGATGCGTTGCCTACCCTTATCCGACAGAGGAGACGCACATAAAGAGTATATTTCCCTTCCTATGCATCTCCTCTACCGTTAAATCCACTTCCCCTTCCCATCCTCTCCTTATAAGAAAAGGGTGATAAAGGGCAAGGGATTTAAATTAGGCCTCCGGCACCACACTCATCAGACGAAACACGGAATTGCTTCCATTTCACGCCAGTGTTCTGTGTGGTCCACTACCACCACCATAATGCCACTATTATACCGGGCGTGCCGGCCCATTCGTGCTAAGATGTTAAACCGGGCACTACCACTGTTAAAGTTAAGTTTTATAGGGACATAATAATAATAAAAAAAATGTATTAACACTAATTTAGTTTTGTGCATACGTCACGCGAAATGGTTTTTTAATTTTAATAATGAATTGAAACTAGTTGCACAGAAAAGTTTAAAAAAGTGTTGCAATATCGCCATTTTTATTTGTTTAAAAATTCACAACAAATGGCTGTTTTTAACTCACTTGAATGGATAAAGTAATGAAAAAATGTAACAGCCGATAACAAATGTTTAAACTGTTCGTTTTATTGACTTTAAAATATTTAAAAACATGGTTTGTATTTATTTACAAGCTATTGTTTCGTGAATTCGAATATTACATTTCACGTGAAATAAATCGTTCAACTCAAGGAACAAACTCTAGTTAAAATTTTTATTTCAAAAATGAATAAATAATGTTCTAACATCTACGTCACTTAACAATCTCGCAAGTACAAAACAGTGCATCAGTGTTATTATAAAAGTGCTAATAAACTTTTATTGGCTTAAGCACTAAAATTAGAATATCTACTTGCAAATCCGGTACTGCATTTTTGTTCTTTATCTGTAGATACGTTTTGATTAGATAGATAAGTTTATGGCTGACATCAATTCTTAGTCTGGTTTTAATTTCCACTTAAATATTTATAACAACCCAAATTGTGTTAAAAATAGATTTTAACGTATTAACATATTATCATAATTAGTGTAACTGTAATAGAAGATAAACAGTGCAAAAGAGCTAAAGAAAAGGTCTGTTTGTAATTATTAAGCCTGCTTCTCACAATAGGTAAAACTCAGAACGATCCTCTTTAATTTACAGTTGTACACACGTTGGTTTTATCTGTATTTGTTAATGAATGTTGTTTCAGCGCAGTTAAAACAGAAGGTGTATAGCTGGCATTACCAAGTCAAAAGCTTTCTTTTCCAGTACTAAAACTCTCTCATAAGTGACGGAAACCCACCAAAGACAAATGTCCTCGTAGACGTCAGAAGGTTAATAGAATCTTTGTGCGCCATCCAGTTACCTTATCGAGGATGAAGATGTCTAAGAACGATAGCGCCATACTATCAGATAACTTTGTGTTTGTTTATTAATTAAAATGCATTTGCATTAAATTAAAAAAGAAACCCTTAAAATAATCCAACTTAAAAACGAATTGTTAACAAACATCCTCAGAGCACAGTGGGTCCCAAATATGTAAGGAGTGAACCTAACACCTCGAATTCACGGCTATATTTAAAAATGTAGTAAACACAGGAAGAAGTACCAAATTGATTACGATAATTACAGTATTATAGATATGTCTCGTTCGATATAAATTGATTACGGATAACAATCATTATTTTTTAATAACACATTTGCAAGCAACAAATCGCACTTTGTGTCGTACAAAGAAACTGTTTATCGTGTCAATAATTTAAAATGGCGTTGTTTTATTCCGTTGCGTTGATATAAGGAAAATATTAATTAATAAATATTTTATACATTGTGGTAACATACTTTTCTGTAGAATTAAATAATGGCAGATCCACAAGTGGCTCATAAAGAAGTGATGGACGAAATAGTGAATAGAAAAAAATTAGGTGATAAAAAGTCTCATTCGGAAACATCGCTTCAAAATTTAGAAGATGTTGACGAAAGTGTTATAATAGACGCTGGGAAAGATCCTGGGGTAAGTGTTACGGGAATTTTATTTTTAAATATTAAAAAAATGCTGTGTAGCGTAGTCAAGTGATATACAAAAAAATATTTGGTCACATGATGTATTTTTTATGACAAATGTTAAAAAAAACGTGAAAATCTTTTATAACAATAAATTACGATCACTGAAACTATTTGGTTTGTTTAAAATTAGATTAAGATAAAGGGTTCTATTCTGGCATGCACTTATCTTTTGGATACCAATATACTTCTTAATCCTACATTTTCTTAATTTAGTATGTTATCAATTTAATTTGTATATGCTTTAGGTAGTAAACAAGACTCTTAACGGTGTTGCAAATGAAGATGACGGGGGTGACAGGCGGCGGACGATGTCGACGCCTGGCCCGGTGTCGGGCAGCCTGCTGACGGCGACCGCAGCGCGGGCCGCACGCCGCCGCCCGCCCCGCAGCGTCATGTACGCGCCAGACCTGGAGCGCACTGTGAGTCTCTGACAATGTCACATTTATCATTCCTTAATGTTTGTTTTAAACCTATTTAGTAGGGAGTAATTAAAATTTCAACTGTCTCGATTGACTTGACACAAACTGTGACATGGCTGAATTATGTTTACCATAACAACTCTAGGAAGGAACACTTCAATATCGGTGAAATGTTTAGACTTTATAAGGTCACTATGGAACAGACTAAAGTTTTTTATACTTTTTCCTTTCCTACTATTACTCGGACAAAAAAAAATAGAAATAATATGCCGTTTTAGGACATATAAATCAAAGCACAAAATTCATTTTAACTTCAATAAATAACCTTATATCGAAATATAGTTTTAAAATGCGTATAAATCGAAGTAGCACTTAATAGAAGTGTTCATGATACAACCATACTCATAGTTACATTTAACATGTATATACAACTTCAAAACAAGAACACTTTAAAATAGCATTGAAAGTTTCGCCATCAATTATTTCAAGAAGAAATCATGTAATTATTATCTTGAAGCAGCTTATCTTTATACTAATGATATTGAAATCGAGTAAACACATACATTTCAATAGAAAAGATGGTTAAATATATTTTTCTGTTGTGTGTCCCACTAATTAAATTGATAAAGTATTTTACAAAAGCAAAAGGATCAAGTGAAAATTTGTATTTCAAAAACGTTGTAATTTTTAGAATTATATGCTACTATTTTTAGACTCGGTCACTGTATTTAAATATTATTTAATATTAAACACCAATAGAGATTATAGATTTATCATAAAAGAATTAATTTATATCAAATTCGATAAAAACCACACTGTCTGGGATTAGCTAGTGTTACCTAACACCTTATGTAATAAGAAAAAAAATTGCCTACTGTACAATAAGGGATTTCTCAACTAAAAAATGTTTTCATTTTTGTGCTCATATTTGGATAGAGTAACACTATTTAGTGAGATTTAGGATTAGGGTAGAGAAACGGTCTGTTTCATTCAGTAGAATTAAAAAATGCTAACGGTAAAGAAATATTGTTGTTTCTTTTGTAACTACAATGAAATCCTTTCGTAAATATTTATTAAGTTTTTTAAATCAATTATTATCAAGTGTGAATTTCCAATTTCGTATTCTTCGCAAATCATGCTATCAATCGATTATTTTACGATTACCATTTGATGTTTACTGATTTCTAAAATACTAGGTTTCGCCCACGACTCCCTCTGCTTTGAATTAAAAAAAAATAGTAAGTAGCATATATGTTCTTATAGAGTATCCTCTAAGTTTATGAAAAATTTCATCGTTTACCCTTCAGTAGTTCAGGCTACAAATTCTAACAAACATCCATTCATCTTTTCGCATTTATAAATTTAAGTAAGATTAAGGTAATTAAATCCTTTTGAACAATTTTAATAACATTAAAACATTCAGTTAATTTTTTAATATCATAGATAATAATTAGTCTAGAATTAAAAGAACATATAACGCATTTGCCAAGTTTTTTTTTTTCAAATTCCGCGCGAACGAACTCGCGTCAAAAGCGAGTTTCATAAAAATGTAATTTGAATAAAGTTGTGATACGATGAACTAATAATGCGGGCATTTCCCTGCATCAACACACTTTGATAAGAGACTTGGTTTATTGCTGTTATAATTTGCACACACAAGGAGTTACACTAATTTCTTATCATATCAATACAGACTTATTTTGGGAAATACTTTATTGAGATATTTTTATTATTTTAGATACATGTTGAATACTTATTTCGTTAAATATACAACTTATGGATATGGTTGTTCAAACTTTTTGGTTGTAATTTTCATGTAATACAATGAAAGAATTAACAAATTATTTATGTAGTACATTCTTACTTCATACTAATATTATAAATGTAAAAAATGTGTTGAATGGCTGGTTGGATGGATGTTTGTTAGAGTTTGTAGCCTAAAATGCTAAACGGGTCTCAGTAAAATTTGGCATGGATGTAGAGGATAGTCTGGAAAAACATTTAGGCTACGTGGTTGTGTTGTTTTTTTTAATACCACGCGGACGGGATTGCGGGCGAGAGCTAGTTAAACGTAAAAATAGTAAAAGTACTAAAACACATAATTTATAGTTAATTCGTGATTTATCTCAAGTCAAACATTAAAACCTGATACGATTATCATAAAGTGGTTTAAATTTTATATAATTTTCCATGAAAATGATTTTCTTTATCACGGAAATTGAATTAATTAAATTTTTGATAAATACTTTTTTGCAAAATGAACATTAAGCGGCAAAATTCTTATTAATCAAATTATCATCTAAACCAAATACATCATGATTACGTTATCAATAAATCCACGTAAAGATAAACTATACACGTAATAACTAATCGCTTGCGAGATAAATTACGTGCGTACCGTAAGAGAATATAGTAGGGATAAAATCTCTTAAAAAAAATTTTAATGCTCAATACAAGTTTTAATGCCTGTCCCATCACTGGCTGATAGAAGCTCAGAGGTCAGATAAGGTAACAAAATCAGATATTTCCATCACTTATTTCGCACGTTGGATTGTTATCAGACAATTTACTATTTGGTGGGACAGGCCCTAAATTTCGCTCTAAACACAATGTAGGTTTTGGTTAGTGTAGTTATAGCAGAAACTAGACCGGAACAGATTATAACAGAATTTAGGCAGAAGCTAAAATAATTTGGAATAGTGTATTATATATGTTTATTTGCATTTACAAATAATACATACAGTCTAGTGTTAAATAAAACAAAAAGACAACTATGAATTTGCACTATTAAATACCCTTTACAAAAGCCGAAATCCTTTTTACACCATTTATTATTTTTTTCCTAATTATTCATTGTATTTATTTGTTTCGGTCATTAGTTAAACTATCTCAGATTCTTCAGTGTCTCTTCAATGCAAGAGAAACTGAATTTTTAAAAGCCTACCAATAATATTTGTGATAAGCTGTTTTGCCAAGCTTTCAAAGTAAATTTATTTTAAGCTCCGACCGTAGTTTAAACAACGAATTCGTATATATGGGCGCAATGGGTTGTAATGATTTTTGCATTCGAAACATGTGGATACGACTATATTAAATATATCAAATTATTTAATTAAACTTTTATAAGTTTATCTTCTATTCTAATTTACTATGAGACTAATAGTACTTAATATTGTATTCGTAAATACAATGACAGTTAAAATTTTTATGAATAACTATTACTTCCGTCCTCTAACATTCCAAATTATCAGTTTGATAAGTTGTTTCTTGATTATTCGTTGATTAATCGCTCTATAAGGTCAGTGATTTATCAAGGCCAACTATGACAATATTCAACTAAACTAATTTAAAAACATGCTTAGATTTGTGTCGTAACTCTGAAACGCTTAGCAATACTTTACTTGATAGAATACAGAATTTTAAATCCCTTGTTACAAAAATAAAATGACAAAAAGTTACGTAGTTAAAGGCAGTCCAGTTCCATAGTGGCGAGCGGACGTAGGGCCTGTTTGTGAGGCGGGTCACTCCCGCGCATCCAACTGTAAACCTTTTGAGTCCAGCCGGCCGCGAGCCACCCTCACCCCTCGCGCACCCACCTCCTGTAAATACCGACAGTCGTGCCGCCCCAACGCCTCACCTAATGAAAATTCGATCTCTTTATTTTTATATTCCAATACGTTGACTGCTAACTCACCGCTTAACCAAGTTAATAGAAATATTTATTGGTGTCACCCGAATGCGATAAGAGCGGGGAATAACACGATAGTCGTGATTTGAAATCTAAACACAACACAACGAAGGAATAAAATTTATTAGTAATGAAAGTTTTGGGCTATGATATTTGATAATCTAGGTCTAAGGGTAATGCAATAATGATTTATAGAAGTGCCAACTCTACTTGTACTATAAACTTTTACACAAACACTAAAATAATCAAATATCTCAACTGAACCAATAATCGAACCCTAAGTTACAATAGGTGTCCTAGGCATAATTTTTTCACGTCTAGAATACCGGTATTGTATTAATAATCACTTTTAAACTTAAATCGAAAGCAAAGTTGTTTAGTTTTCCCTTCAATATCGTCACAGCGAGGTATTTTGTGATGCATATTCTTTGAATACTCAAAAAAGGCCTACCTACACTATCAGGGCAAGCGATTTTGAACCCTGACTTCTTTTACTAGGTAATAAAATAGAACAAACTAGTCATTGTGTGATATGAGAGTTCCACAATAATTGCATATTTTTCTGTGAACGCCGGTCCAAAATTTGTAGCATAGGAACGCGGAGCAACGTAATGGGATTATTGTGAAATACAGGCCGGCGTCGATCGAGAGAAACAAGTAACTAATGAAGTTATTAATCCGATTTTAAACGGCTTTCGATGGTCATACGAGTGGTTTTTAGCTCGTTTTTAGGTAGTCCGAATTATTAAAAATATGTTCCTAATATCATTTTCATTATTTAAATATACTGATTTATATGTTTACAGGATTCTACCAGTAAGAGAGATGACGATTCGATTTTAGGAACGCCAATAGGTAATGTTGATTAATTTGTTTGGAAATAATTTTAATAAAAGTACAAATACGAGGGTGAATCAAAAAGTTCTTAGAAGTGCATATATATGAAACCTTTTTGGATCATGTTCGATATTCAGATTAAAGAGTGTCTATTACACTATATTTATGCACACTGTCACTTGTTTTTGTCAGTTCGTTCGCATGTAATAATTTTTTTTAATATTGATTCCAACAATTTTTTGATTCACCCTCGTATATCAAATTCTGCTCACTTACCTTTGGCATTAGCCTCAGAAGTTCATTACAATATAATTGTCATTATAATTTGTGGAATTAAAAGTAAAATATAATTTAATCGCTATCCGTCCTTGGTGTTAATCTAAATCGCATTCCTCAATTACCTTATCACTTAATTATGTTTTCGTACATTTCCAGGAGATCGAAATAGTGCTAGTCCAGTATTATATAATGGCAATATTCGCAATAATGGAGATGCGAAATCTTTAAGTAAGTATCCAAATGTAATTGAATACTAAGTTACACTTGAACGCATCATAGCACATAAGTAATTAATTGAACAATAAATATTGTACGAATGCATTTCGAAGATAAAGTGGCGGCCACGTTTAAGTTCAATGTATATTTCAGGTAACTATCGTGCATATAACACGCTAAATGACGTGCGCGGTGGTACCACTCCTAGGAAACGCTCCGTGGCCACCATGGACGCGCAGTCTCTACGCTCAGTGGATACACACGCTCCTCCGCCAACCAGCCCAGAAGATAACAAGCGTCTTACGTTGTAAGTATAAAAGTAGTTACAAGGAGAACGTTAGTTATGAGTGTGGAAGGGTACAGCGGTAGAGGTAGACCTAGAAAGAAAAGGATGAGTTGCGTGATAGGTAACATGATCAAAAAGGGGGTGATGACTGAGATGACGTATGATAGAGTTATTTGGAGGACAAAAACCTGTTACGCCGATCCTACGGGAGTAGGATAAGGAGGATGATGATGATGGTGAAAAACAATTGATTACTTGAAGACCAAAAGGGGAAACGTTAAAGGAATAAATTATAAATGTCAATTAAGATACAGATAAGAGAATGAGAATGAAAAAATTACCATCGATATTTCAAAAAAATGTTAAGAGAATATAGATCGCTCATTTTTTCTCGTAAATCTTATTATACTGTATATTCTCTACTTTCGCTTCTTTTAAATTCACTTATTACATTACAGGAAATATATGTCGTTAATATTGAGCGGTATGTACGCAATACTGCTGGTGACATTGGGAGTTATTTTCAACCTCGCTGATCCTTTTGTGGATATGCATTTAGCTACGGTAAATTTATTTTAAATTTTACCACCCACCACTATGTTATTTTAATTAACTTCCAATGTGTTATTTTGAAAACATTTCTTTCAGATATACTCATTAATTTTAACGGGCATTGGCTTTCTTTACATGTTGTTTTTACTTATTGATATTGGTAGATACAAAAGTAACGCTCTACAAAACCAAAAAGCCAAAGAAATACACGAAGAGAAGCTTTCCGAATATTATAGGAAACGAGAAGTACGTATTTTTCTTTACATAATTGATCTTTAAGACAATCTATTGAATTTTCATTGCAATTGTTTTAACGAAACCAAATTTTTGTAGGAAGAGTTCGGACCAATAATAGCGGGAGACCGCACGCCCGATAGTTACCGATCACTGAAAATACCATCCGCATTGCTCGTGTCACTGAAACATGACTATTGCTTCAGCCAGGGCCGGCACTCGGGGAGTTTTTACCTTAAATTGGGAGCTGCCGGTAAATTGTAGTTTTTTAGCTCTTGATTTAAAAACAAAGAACTGTTACTTTTAATGGTAGTTAAAATTCTAACTTCGCCTTCGTCGGAATTTCTGGACCATTTATTAAGTTTACAACTGTATAATTTTAAAAATGTAATTCCTTCACCTAGTTATTAATATTTTATCGAATCTGATATAAACATTGATCGTGTAACTTGCAGGTTTTGCCCTGGGACATCTTGTGCATTCAGTCCTGTTGATCACTTTACAAACGAATTATTATCTTGACGACAACATTAATAATGAAGACTGCGTCGACGTACTACGACTTGTTCTCGACGTCGTAAATCCGTTGTATTCTTTCGTTCAACTATATTTTATTTTTAAATATTCCAACGTGATTGTCTTACGAGGGCAGGTGAGAATTACAATTTTTCTTCGTTAAACTAATTTATGACTTCCTTCGTTGCGTTCTATTGCAATATATGTATCAATTTATTACAGGGTTTAGCGCATTTCGGTTTTATGCATATGATTGGCAGTAGTCTTTGTTTTTGGATTGCGACTATTGTTCGAGAAACAGTGTTAGCGTTGACACTATATGCAAATTCGAAATATGGCAATCGAACAAACGGTTATGATGCTGAAGTTAATATAGAACCAGGTTTTTAAACAATTTAATGGTCTTTTCGACTATGTTGTAAAACTATGTTGAATAATAACAATTATTTTATTCTTTTCAGTGTTTACATCAGCAGAGAGTCGTATTTTCGACATCAGTGATCTGTACAACGAACATTGTCAGGGATCCGGCGCTATATCATCTGTATTTGAAAGTGTATCGCCTTATTTGTACCCATTTAGTGTTGAATTCAATATTCTTATAGGTAAATATATTTTACCATGGCTTATTAACATATATCCCTTGAAAGATTTAAGTAAAATAGATTCGAATAGATAATTAAACCTATAGGTTATTTTCTTTTTTTTAATTGTGTTAATACTATTATTATGAATTCATATATTTTTAACAGATCAGTCACATTCCTCTATAAAATTAAATTTAATTTTGTGTTTCAGTCGCGGTATATTATATAATTTGGAGTAACATCGGTCACTGTGAGAACCCAGATGGAGACAAAAGCGAATCAAATTCAAGCTTAGGCGAGAACTATTCAGTGTGCAAGTCTGTATTTATTTATGTAAACTGTTATATAATATACTAGCTGTTTCTCGCGACTTCGTTCACGTGAAATTAAGAAGTATAAGCCTATGTTACTCAGCAACAACGTAGCTTTTGAATAAGAAATGCTTAATATAGTCTCAGTAATTTTTGAATTATTTCAATACCTACAAAAATACAAATCCTTACTCTTTACTAACTATTAATGTTTATCATAAAAAATATTTCACTTCAGGATACCAACCGCAAGTGAGGAGAACGATTATACAAGCAATATGGTTATTTATGCGGACTGCCATGCTTCGAACCGCGGACTTTTTATGGGCTTAGTCATAATTGTTATTGTTGTGGGAATGCTCATTATTGGGTTCGTCTTCAGCAGTGTTGGCGAGTAAGTATTTCAAACAATAAGTAGTTAGTAATATAATATTGTAAATTTTTGTTTTTATAAAAGAAAAGTGCATTGAAGACTACCAAAGATTATTGTACAAATACTAGCTTCCGCCTACTTCGTCCGCATAGAATTAAAAACAAAAACAAAAGTAAGTAGTCTATATGTTTTCCCAGACTATAATCTACGTCTATGTAAAATTTCATAAAGATTAGTTCAGTCGTATAGGCTACTAACTCTTAGAAAACATACATCTATCCATCCAAACATTCTCATGTGTAATATTAGTAAGATTATTCTTAACCCAATTATTTATTATTAAATTACAGTAATTTCCTGGAAGTGGGTTACCTCCTTAACAGCTGCACGAAGCTGGGCCTGCACGTGATAATGCTGTTCGCTGCAGTCATAGCTTACAATCAAACGATCAAGCTGGACATAAACGAACATCCAATCTCCTTGCTGGACGATGTTCTACTATTCATATGCCTGCCAGCTTTCTTCCTAGAGTCAGTGCTGTCACTGGCCGCTACAGTATCAGTAGCAAACATTATCAAATCCATCGATTTCGTAGTAATGGTAAGTTTATTAATACAATAAACATTTTCAAGAGATATGTTTTTTTTTCAATGTTTATGGTTTTATCAAAGTGTCAATCTATTAAAAGGGGATCTTCTGACCTCATACCTTTGACGTTTGAATAAACTGATTTCATTATTAAAACAAATTGGTACTACAAACCGCTTGATTAAGAAAATATGTATTCTTCCAGGTGGTGCAAGTAATCATACAGACATTCTTGTTAGTGGACGGTCTTCGCCGCTGCAGTAACAGCAGAAAACTACGAAGAACGAAGCCCGGCCGAGAGCTAATGATGTTCATGATCATTGCCAACGTAGCAATGTGGCTACACTACTCGTTCTCTTACAAATCACCAGATAGTTTGGATGAAAGATACGAATTCTATGGTAAAATACTATGGAGTATACTCGGCCATATATCTCTACCACTGATAATGTTCTACCGATTCCACTCCAGCGTTTGTTTTGCTGATATATGGAATTCAGCGTATAAACCTGGTTCGGATCATTAAAAGTATAATAGATAGATTAGTTAAAATATTTATACGTTATAAAAGTTAAATAAATTATAGTAAGACATATAATAAATAAACTAATGATAATCGATTATGCAACTTTGAGTTTGAATGCATTTAAACCGATTTGTTTACTCCAACTCTATTATTATCACAAAGTGAATCAGTCCTGAAGTTAGTTTGTCCTAATTGATGACACAATAGAAAAATTAAGATTCCATTAATAATTTTGCATTATTAGAATAAACCAGAAAAGGTCTGCCAACAAGACTAATAAAGAAGGTTTTGACATGATAGCTTCTTGGAGCTAACGCCAATTCTGGGATAAAAGATCATATAAAACCAGAAATCATCCAATGTACAATTATTATGTTACTATGACAATGATAATAATTCTGCAAGAGTTCATACTAATTTACTAGCTTAAATTAGTGTGAAACATAATTAACAGATACGATTAACACTGTAGATAATGTCACCATAAATGATAATATCGTTACACGTACGTGCACGCAGCTCGGCCACAAAGCACGTATCAATGCATCGCCTTAGCCGACGGACTCGGAGAGGCAGTGAATTAATTTCCCTCCGTGTAATGCAATTACCCAATATTAGGTTAAGTACTCGGACGGTCCAGGGGCAGACCGCACTTAGCTCCGCGACCTCACACACAAACTAGTTACCTCCTCGGGTCATCATGCACCGCATTTACTAAACATGTTTAGACAGGCCACTATGTAATGTTAGGACGGAAATACACAAGCTAGTAAAATTGAATAGTAGGTTGCATGCCATTTACTGGCTCAATGCGTATACACATGCCAGTAAAATTCTCATGAAACTATACGAAACGAGACTTGTCAGTGTCAAGCTTGCAAGCCTTGCATGCTCATAACTGTCACAATATCAAATATCGCGATTTTTATGCCAGATACTAGCATGCCAGTTAGCATTTACAAAAGTCTGTAGTTAACACAAGACAGTAAGTTGCAAGTAAGTTTGCCAGCCATTAATATGTGTATTTGTTTTACTACAAATTATTAAGATGATGAATCAAACTTTTTTATTTAGGTTTACATTACCTTAATAATTTAAAACAATAACTTCACATATGTTGAGTATTTCTAATAGAGTGTAATATTATAGCAAAGAGTAGTTATTTTAATATAGTTGTTAATAAATCTAGCAAATATTGAAACACTTTAAATGGCAGCAACAAACGTAAATGTTGTTAGTTGCGTCAAGTTAAAAACATAGCAAATGGATGTAAGCCGCGACCCGGTCGGGTACGACGACACACGGATATGCGCTCCGCTGACCATTGCCACTGTTATCTAATTGTTTCCGATCTTCCCCAAATAACCGACGAATTGTATTGACGATATTTTAACAGGTGAGTGGCGTCTTATAGAATTACATAACTAATCGTGCCTTTTGTGATCAAATATGAAAGTAAAAAATATATTTAAAAATAAATTTCGATCGATCTTTTATTCATATTGTACGAAGCACTTAATTATGATAAAAGTATCTCTGATAAAATTCGTCATTTTAAATTAGTTGAATATCAGTAAGAGCAACATTAGAACTTACATGTAATTCTTACCCTAAATATAAATTAATAGAACAATTAATTAATTCTAATGAATTGGTTATAAATATCTTTATTTTGTGCGATATCATGTATTTAAAACTGCCATACGATACGCCCGTCCATATGAGTAGAATTATCCAAGGCACATTTTATCGCTGTTTATTGAGCAAATAATAAAAGCGAATCAATTTCTGTATTGGAGCTCAGGTGACCATAGTCCATTAGCGTGTCATTATAAAATGAATATCCTTTTTGTTTTTCACAAAAACACTTTAACTGCATACAATAATTGCATCATGAAAGCCTTCACGTGCTTACTAATTAGTTGGGCGTAGAGTTTGTAAAGCTGAAACTTAATTGGATACCTTTTAACGTTAATTAAAATAAATCGAACATACGAGAATAATGATAAAACTTAATTTTAAGTTAACTTAATTTTAATTTTTAAACAAAATAATTTTGTTTGAACAGGCTCCATGAAATGCTGTTTTATAAGAACACAAGATTTCGCCCGCGACTCCGTCCGCGTGGTATTAAAAAAAAAAACAAAAATAAGTAGCCCATGTATTCTTCAAGACTATCCTCTACATCTGTTCCAAAATTCATCGAAATCCAATCAGTCGTTTAGGCTACAAACTCTTACAAACATCCATTCATCTGAACTTTCGCATTGATAATATTAGTATTGTTAGATATATACAGGAATGACTCCCTTTAAAATATAGACGAACGGCCATATTAACAATACTTGTAAATTACTTTAAAACAAACAAACTGAACTCCAATGCGACAACACAAATACATATATCGAACGTTCCGTTATGACGACTAGTAAAACACTGAGCTTGTTGGCGACTGAGCGCCGAGACTGCAACTGAGCGCCCGAGCCACTCCTTGCCATATATTTTATAAAACTCCACTATTCCTTCCGCTTCCTAATATTTTCCTAACAATATTGTTGTATTAAATAATGATAAATGTATTGATAAATAGCACAGATTATCAAATAACTTTTAAGAATACAGAATACATCAAAAATAGTTAAAAAGCTAACAGTAAGAATATCAATACTGTATACGAAATGAAAACAAATAAAGAATTTTCGACATTTTGCTAAAATTACAGTCCACTCTTGTCATGTTTGCTCGAGCTCCTGGTTATAAGCTTTTATTTAACTTCTTACTTCGTTTGTCAGTTCGTTGGAGGAAATCTTTAAGCTTACAAACTTTTTCATCTCCTATTAATTTAAAACTCGGATGGTATGAAATTAATTTTATAACTTAAATTTTACTTTTAACGTAAGTTGTCTATATTTCTTACTTAATATAAAACTATGAATAATAAAATTAACGCAAGATATTAAATTTAAGACAGTAAATTTGGAAGAAATACTATTCTTTAATAGTTAAACTTTAGGGCTATCTAACCAGAACTTAAGGATACTAAAGGTATTACGAGAGGACATTTGTAATGTTATGAGAACTTAAATTGCTGAGTAAGCCGATATTAAAAAGTTAAGCAAAAGTTAGAAAATCTTAACATAGCAATTCCCTATGGTATGAATGTCGTTCATAATTAAAATAGCCCTAACTTTTGTACACTGAGGTTAAAAACAAAACAAAAATAACTGTAATAAATATGAAGCGCAAAGCATGTTTTATTTGCATTTATCAGAGCAGAATAGATTATGGTCACGCTTGAAGTGAGGTCAGGCGCCCGCGCAGGCCGGAAGGGCGCGACGCGACGCCGCACCGGAAGCGTCCCCGCGACCCGTGACATACGCATACGCGCTTTGTTCATCCACTACGACACACGTAAAACATTGCCTCCTAAATGTATAAAGTTAATAAATATTCGCCAAGATTTTATTTGTATAGTGTATGTTCGATGTGTGAGAATCTAATAAGACAAAACTCAGCTTAGACTGTTGAAGGCGAAATCAATGTAATTATGTAGGAACAGTGAAATACTAGTGTGAGTAGAAGCACCCTCAAGTTGAGCGATTGACGTTAAAGGCCAATCTCCCCCTCTCGACGAAGGTAAGTGATTCACTTGTCACTTTGTTGTTTTTCCCTTGTTACTACATTTATTCGCATCAACTACATTTTCTTTATATTGTGAACCAAATTGCTTATTGAATCTGCGGAGGAAAATGTTTTAGATTTTTCGTAACAAATGCAATATGTCACCCGTTTCATATAGAATAAAGTCCACTGTAGGATAAATTGTAGGAAATCTTGCGGGAAAATCTTCTCTTGACCGATTTGTAAAACCTTTAAAAAGTAAGATGGATAAAACATAAATATGTTTTACGAGTACTTTGTGTAAAATTTATATTTTTAATGATGTATACTATTAGAAAAATAATGTTATCTTCGTTTATTAATTTAACATAATATTTACGTAATTTGAATAGTTTTTCTCCTACATTCATACGTTAGTGGTATTTTAATAAAATTTGGCATAATGTCTGATGGTGATAAATTTTTAATATTTTGTTAAGCAAATTAAATCTTAGCATGTCGGAGTAGTAAATATACGGAGAACAGTATTTCCTTAAACGCGTTTCGATACTTCACCGCTCAAAGTTACAGCTGTGATCATCGTTGCAAACATAATAAGCGTAATAAATTATTTAAGATGTGTTTTCGTACAACCCTTAATTTCGTACTCACGGCTTTGTATGTCTATATCTTTATTATCAAACAACTTAAGACGTGTTAAGACAACTGAAGAGGTTGTCAACTGTTAAGAAATAATTCAGTCGAAGTGGAAAACCGACCTAAATACTTTGACGAATACGTTACTTTGGTTAACATTTTAAAGGTATCGTTGTAGTTACAGATATATGAACAATTAGAAAGAACGGCGCATTATTATAGGTGTGCATGAATATGACATAATGCTGTATACTGAAATATCTTAAATTAAATTAACTATTTCTTACTTAACTGTTCTTTTACATGACACAACATATCTTGGTGCCAATTCGCTTTGCTTTTCGAATTTCGAGTCATGCACTGAATGAATCTGCCTAAACATTTATTATTAAAAAAAAACTATTACATTTATATGTGAGAAAACAGCACTGTAGAGACTATAGAATTCTGAGAGCGGTAATTTCTTTGATTGTGGTTAAGTAATGTAGTAATGATTACGATGTGCAGAAAAGTCGTATAAGAAACGATATAGAATTAACATTAAAAAGGGGTTATTATTTATGATATCACAAAGTGTTGCTGTAAGGCGTTGTTAAGCCGTACTTAGTTCGTCAGCTCGACTTCTCGGGCTGGTCGATGTTGATCAAAGACGCGTCGCCGCTCGCCCGGAAAATTGCCCCAACCCAATGAATATTATTAAACTCTTCAATAGTTCCGTGTCCCGTGTACTTTATTATTGTTAGGTTACGTCGCTTATGTGCTCATATAAAATAACTTTAAAACGTTAAAGGAACTTCATTATTCAAATTTTCAGACCGAATTACCGGCTCCTTTTT